CAATCGAGTTATTTTTTAATTACAATATTTCCCTCCGAGGACAAAAATTATTTTTTCTCTGCGATGAAATTTTCAAAAGATTTTTAACCAAGAATCTGCCGATAAAGAAGTTAGGAATTTTAATTTACCGACAATTTTCATATTGTATGTTATTACAATCCTTTAGTTTAATCATTTCTCGGATAATTTCAATCATTCAATTGGGAACGTTTCAGAGCGCAGGAAATTTTTAATTATTTCAAGAAACGTGGCAAAACTTGCGAGCAAAGAAAAAAGAGTATTCGACTTTTGATCGATGGCGTGTTAATTGAAAGACAAAAAAAAAAATCTCAGAGAAGGTCTGAAGTTGAGGCCACCGAACGTTTCAATATAAATTTCGTTGCTTAATTGCTTTCCCTCGAACTCACCGTGAAAAGCAGCTTTTCACCTCGAGGCACGTGCAAGGAAAACTTTTGCACACACCGCAATGTATTTGTATACGCGCGCGCGGACATCGAGAAAAGAAGGCTAAGAATACACGTGGAAAGGACAATTTTCTTCTCGTTCTTCCTTTTCCGTGGAAGAACCTAGCGATTAATCGAAGAACCCCTTGGCGAAGCGAACTATATGAAAAATTACCGTATATTTTTAATAGCACGAAAATAAATGAGTTAAATATTAATTTCAGCTTCAGAAAGTGTACCAGCAAGTTTTTAGAGTACAGTAGTGTTTAATCGAAAGGTCGAGTGGAATTTTTGTTATTTACTTTTTGTGTTAGAATAATCCCTGTTGGAAAAGTTCGTAACGAATTTTTCAAAAGCGAAACAAACTGTTGGAGGGTTTAACCCGTCGGATTGTTGAGTTCGATTAATTTGACGAGTTTGCAGGTTGAATTTTATTCCGTGGACAAGAATTTTGTTTTTTAAATATGATTTAACGTAATAATTTATAATTGTCGATTATTCTATATAATGTCTAATTTTTATTTTTTCTCTGCGGTGATTTTTTTCGGAAAATAGATTTTGGTCATTGAAAATCTATGAGTAAAAAAGTGAAAAATTTTAGCGTGCAGAAAATTTTTAAGAAGCTTGTTAATATATAGCTTTAAATGGTTAAGAGTCTTTGCTGCAATTTAGAGTATTGCAATCGAATTGTATCTTAATTAGAACAGTTTACTCGAAGGATAGAAATTTTTATTTTTCCTCAACCAGTGGCATTTTTTCCCTAATCTGTTACACTTTCACGCTGCTCTTAAGCAATGGAAAATTATTCCGTCGGAGATACCGGATAGCATCGAAGTTTTGCACGAAACGTATGAATATTGAATCAGTATTATCGACCAAACGATTACCTTTTATTCCTTCTGCCCTCACACCAGTGACATAATTTTTGAACTCCGAAAAAAAGAAGGGGGAAAAATTCCCTCCTGTCGATGTAATTATCGAAAACGACGAGGAAGAAGCGATTTTACAAAAAAAAAAAGAAAGAAAAAAATGTAATCTGAAATGTTCGTGACTATTGTAATTGATATTTGAGCAAACAAAACGAAGCTCGTGGAAAAATCCACGATAGCAAGGATCAACATGCGTGTTCCAATTAACGATCGTCCAATAAACTGTAAATCAATATTTCCACGATAGAATAGGGGAGGAGAAAACAAAAACAAATGCACGGTGTATTTTTCAGAGAAATATTTGTCTACCGATGTATTAACTATTCGACAGAGATTATTTGATTATTTTTCAATCGTTTTTTAACACGAGGTGAGAGGAGAAAAATTTTACGAAAATTTCACGTGGAAAAGTATTGTTTCACGGTTTGCAGCGTGTTTTGTTGTTGGGAACCACACCCTGGTTCGTGTCTCCGCTGTGTCTAGAAGACACAGAAAAGTGTATTGGAGCATGCATTCGATGGACATTATCACGAACAAAAATTGAATCCTTCAATTAGGATAATTAGTCGGGATAATTGTTCATTTTCAGATGAATACCGAGCGTACTTTCGTTTCTGATCATTTTCTAATGGTTCAAGTTTCTAATACTGTGAAATCAAGAGTCTTCGTTTATTCTGAGAAATAAAGTGAATTAATATTCTTGTAATTTAATGGGAAATTCAAGGGAATTCGTATTTACATATTTTGATAATAAAATAAAGAAAAAGTTAATATTCTGATCAGTTAAAAATGAAATAAAACAAGTTCAGATTTGCATTGCAGCACAATGCCTAATGTTCACATAATGGTCAGTTCACATTGCATACTTGAAAATTAGAGCGAATTGTTTTATATACACACATTCTGTCCGTAAAACGAACAAATTTTTACGATAGAATAAAATAAGTATGAGCACATTCTTATCATTGTAAAATTATAAATTTTACTCTATTCGAAAATTTATACTCTTCTGAATAAATTATTTTAATTGTCCGAATTTGTTGGAGTAATTCTGCTGAATTTAATTTTAGAAATTAATTTCAGTGTTGATAATCAATAGATTAATTTTCAATTTAAATTTCATTTATTAATAATTTTCTATAGGTATAGTAATATATTAAGGTTACGGAATTTTTCAAGTATTTCCCAATAATCATGAAATTGTATTTGCAGAAACGCGACGTTAAAATGAATGGAACTCGATGATTTCTGTTCCAGCGATCATTACGAATGCCTGCAGGCGCAGTGGCAGCGAGAACGACAACCAGGTATCGAGGATTCCGTCGACCTTGAGCGTGGCAGCCGTCGATGTCGTCGTCGCCTGTCAACCGTCACCGTCGCACTCGATTCTAACCTTGACACCTGGTAGAACACGAAACATCGATCAGGATATGGAGGCGCTTAGGTTGAGTCGACAGGATAATCCTTTCCTACAGGTTCGAATCGATAAGCTACCTGTTTCACATTCCCAAAACAGTAAAAATAAGAATGAAACAGGGGGAATTCTTCGGGATGAAACGTGGCTGTCCTTCGAGATTAGGGAAGAATTGAACATCAATGTCAGAAGGTTGCTGAAAGCTTGATAATTTGTTTTTTATATGAGGATTGTTAGAGAGCAGTTATGCTCTTGGTTGATGGTGTATTCTGGTTTGGTCATGGAATTGGAATTGAAGCATTTGAAGGTTGAAGAGATTTGATTTTCCATCGAATTGAAATTGAAGTATTTGAAAGTTGAAGAAATTTGATTTTCCATCGAATTGAAATTGTAGAAATTTGTCAGTGCTCTGTGAGGATATTCCTCTTTGCTTATAATCGCCGATAACTTCCGGTATAGTGAGAGAATTGAAATTGAAGTATTTGAAAGTTGAAGAAATTTGATTTTCCATCGAATTGAAATTGTAGAAATTTGTTAGTGCTCTGTGAGGATATTCTTCTTTGCTTATAGTCGTTGATGACTTCCGGTTTAATTGTAAAATTGAAATTGGAGTACTTGAAAGTTGAAGAAATTTGATTTTCCGTCGAATTGAAATTGTAGAAGTTTATCAATTTTCTGTGAGAATATTCTTCTTTATTTATAGTCGCTGATGACTTCCGGTTTAATTGTAGAATTGAAATTGGAGTATTTGAAAGTTGAAGAAATTTGATTTTCCGTCGAATTGAAATTGTAGAAATTTGTCAGTGCTCTGTGAGGATACTCTTCTTTGCTTATAATCGCCGATGACTTCCGGTTTAGTGAGAGAATTGAAATTGGAGTACTTGAAAGTTGAAGAAATTTGATTTTCCGTCGAATTGAAATTGTAGAAGTTTATCAATTTTCTGTGAGAATATTCTTCTTTATTTATAGTCGCTGATGACTTCCGGTTTAATTGTAGAATTGAAATTGGAGTATTTGAAAGTTGAAGAAATTTGATTTTCCGTCGAATTGAAATTGTAGAAATTTGTCAGTGCTCTGTGAGGATACTCTTCTTTGCTTATAATCGCCGATGACTTCCGGTTTAGTGAGAGAATTGAAATTGGAGTACTTGAAAGTTGAAGAAATTTGATTTTCCGTCGAATTGAAATTGTAGAAATTTGTCAATCGTCTCTAAAAATATCCTTCTTTGGTTACTGTCGCTGATGACTTCCGGTTTTACGAATCTGCATAGTTACTGTAATAAATCAAGTACGAATTTGCAGCATAGTATAAAGCAGCGATAGCAACAATATTGTAAATAGTAATAGTAATTTTTATTATAGAAAAATCACAGAAGTGACGTACCATTTTTCTTGAATTTTCTCTGCGTTACGCAGCTCTTAATAGCCACTGATTCGTTCCAAGAATCAGAAGAATCGTTCACTCATTCACGTTTTGCAATCAGCCACTGTTATTTCATTAAGCGCGTTGCACGCTACAGTAACATAACTCATTCTTTCCTAGAGTATACTTGTGACTCATTGTTTCGTTCAAAGGAGACCCACACATTCATTCATCCATACCACTTACGCCTTTCCTCTTCGTGTGAAAAATGGGGAAACCGTATGAAGCAGACTTTATCAAGAACTTATAAATATTTACTACTTTCACTGTATCTTTGATTGAAAAGTAACGTTGCATTTCTCTTGCAATTTTTTTTCTCCATTCCTTAACTAGTAAGAATGACTTATCTTTCAAACATTTAATTCAAAAATTTTCATTTTTTTTAAATACACAAAGTAAAAATTTGATACTTGAAAAATAGCATTGCATTTCTCAATTTTTCTTCATCTCTTCATTAATAGGAACATTTATAATCACCCATTATAGTTCCTTTTTCCATCATTGTAATTATAAAAAAATTCCAATCTTTCAAACATTTAATTCCAACATCTTTATTTGTCTTAAATGCATAAGGTAAAAATTTTAGTTAATGAAAAGTAGCATTACATTTCTCTTGCAATCTCTTCTTAATTTATTTATCAACAAGAACACTTATAATCAATCATTATAGTTCCTTTTTCCACCACTGTGATTATACAAAAATTCCAATATTTCATACAATTATGTAATTACAAACATTTCAACCACTTAATCTCAACATTCTTATTTGTTTTAAATTCACAACACCAACAATTTGCTAACTCCCCAAGCACGGTAATAAAATAAAGAAAAAAAGAAATATGTTTCATAAAAATGAAGCTTAATGCAAGACAAACCTCATTAACCCTTACAATCTTCACATCCTCTCTATTTATATCCAAAGAAGAAAAAAGAAGAAAAAATACCTGCACCATGTCCCACTTTCTACAACCACTCTGCCATCCACGAATATTAAAATCCGCCTCGTACAGAACCTCATCGCCTTGAAACAATTCCAGTAATCAATTCAACGAGTGTTACATGCAGATCAGTCGTGGTCTGCAATCGTGACACATCCTCCTTCGTTACATCAAATCACACAAATGAATTTCTGACTCATTCTCTACGTACTTCCGTTTCTTCAAAATTCTCATCGATATCTGGTGAATCATTCGACGATAAATCTTCGTTCTTCCAGGTACTGGCGAGTCGCGAGAGCCTCGTGGAATCCGTGGAAGAATCTGAGTCTGATGACGCCATACTCATGTCTCAGGTGAGCAATTCTTTTTTTTTTTTTTTTTTCTTCCTTTGTCCTGTTCGTTCGCCTTTATCTTCGCCTGTAGGAGCGTGAAAGGAGCATTGATCGGCGGGCGGCCAGGTTGCATTATTAATGCCAGCGTGAACTTGATAGCGGAGAGACGATAGGGTACACGTTCACGTTCGTATAAGTATCGAGACACTTAGCGGATTGTGAAGGGAATATAAACAGTCGTTAGAGAATTATCTACCCTTTGCACTTTGGCCGCTTTTACGTTGGTCGATCACTTCGAGTTTTCGTAATTTTAAGTTCTTATTTTTAACTCTTGAAATGTTTAATTAAATTGGGTAGGAAAATTTTAAGTAACTAAATTTAGCGGAATTCCTTTTTCTAGGAGATGTTCACTTTTCGATTTTTGTCGAGTGGACAAAATTTCAATTTAGGGATCTTTGACACCCTTTCTCACCCTTGAAATTTTTAATTAAGCTGTATGTGAAAATTTTAAGTAACTAAATTTAGTGAAATTCCTTTTTCTAGGAGATGTTCACTTTTCGATTTTTGTCGAGTAGACGAAACTTTAATTTGTGGATCTTTGAAACCCTTTTTCACCCTTGAAATTTTTATTGAACTTGTGGAAACTTAGTGGAATCTTTTTTTGAGATATTCACTCCTAAATGAAAATTAAGGAAAATTGACATCTGACGTCTTCTCTGAGTGTTGTAGTTTCTTAGATTAATTTTTGTCCAGTAGACAAAATTTTATTTTACGAATTTTTGAAATTTCAAAGTATGAATCTTCGAAATTTCAGTTTATGATTGTGTTATCCTATTTTTAACACTTAAGACTCTTTAAATGTTAACATTACCCTGTATGAGCAAATTTTTATACAACTAAACTTAGATCTTTTATTATTTAAGGTTTGAAGAAAAATTTATAAAAATTGAGAGAATCATTTTGTTTGGTTTTTTTCTTTTTTCTTTTTAGGGTGATAAAGCCTGATTACATTTGCAGAGTAATTTTTAGATCAGAAAGGTGATACGGTAGACAGGTAGCAGATAAGAATGTGTCACCGATTACATAAATGAAATTACAGGAATTACAGGAATACCTTTTTCAAAAACACATAGATTAGTACTCTAAGAAACCTAACGCGTTATCAGTTGTTACATAAGTTCCCGAAGCACTATAGCGTTCGGTGATAGCAATATTTGCACTGAACATTTGCAAATATTTGAAAAGAAAATAGAACTATTACAAATACCAGACTAATTTTACATTTAGAGCAATTCAAGCGTAATTTCGGTGAATCGTTATTTATCAGCTTTCACAAATGTTGTAAATAATGGCAGAGTACTTTGTGGGCTGTTATTTGTCATAAATAATTTCAGAAATATCGACAGACAAATATTGAAAAAATAGATGAAACAGTATCAGAAATATTGGCAGACAAATATTAAAAAAATAAATTACAGTATTACAAATATTTAAAAAGGAAATGAAATAAATAATCCCAGAAATATTGGCAGACAAATATTCAGAAAGGAAATTAAAGCAATAATATTAAAAATATTGGCAGATAAATATTAAGAAAGAAAGTTAAATAAATAGTACCTAAAATATTGACAGACAAATATTAAAAAAATCAGTTAAACAAATATTACCAAAAATATTGACACAGAATTGAAAAAATTACAATTGCCATTATCTATCAGCAAGTTTAAAATTTCTCTACTAAAACATCTTACCACTAAAGTCCACTCTGAAATAGACTTCTCATACAGAAAACTTCCTCAACTTTCTAAGATCAGCATTCTTAGAAAGTGACAGAAGGTATCTATTTTCCAATTGTACAATCACCGACTGTCGATCATCCACAACAATTGTCTACTACAGAAAGTAGTACACATTCATTCCATTAACCCTGGTCTGGCAGGGTGCGGTCACAATAAGCCTCGTCGTTGTAACGTCGAGTGTACACGAGATTTCATGTACTCCAACCGGTTGTCTATTGTCGAACTTCCAGCAAAATCCAAGGGTTCGAGTCGCCGAGAAAGAAAGAAAAGAAAAACAATGTGAATTGATCGAGTGCTCGAGGGAATAAAAATGTTGGGTAGAGAAAGAAGTAACAGTCGTTTCTCTAGAAATAACATTCGATAAGTCTGATGTAAAAAGGGTTAATCGAGTCGTTTTGTAAGAGGCTGATCCTAACATTTACATAAGTATGATCGCTTGTTTGATCTGATAAGTGATGTCTTTCTTATCGAGAACAAATTGAAACTTCGCTGCCGCTCATGCGATGTGTGTTTTATTTCAGAGTTGAAATTTTATCGACTTGAAATTCTGAATCGTCAAATTTTCGTATCTTTAACCTTGCATTGTAACGAAGAGTCAGGCTCGTGCTATAAATTTTTCTCAACGTGTGATAAAATCTGGTTGCATTAGCGAGAGAGATTTATTTTTACTGTGATTTTCGTATGAATTTGCGAGACAGAATTATCAAATGCAAATGATGTGTGATACGTTAGCTTTCCTTACGTGATACAGTGGTAAAATAGAAAATGTATAGTCGGTGAAAGAAATCGTGAGTTAAAGGGCTGAAAAGTGGTAAGTGGAAAGGATTGAAATTTGAATATTTTTTACAGCGCAAATTTTTATTACCACTCGCGTTATTGAAATTTGAATCGTTAAATTTGTTGTGAAATTTCACAGTGCAAATTTTAATTTTTGAAGTTTCTATTCTATCACTGATGTTATTGAAATTTTAATTTTTATTCTGCCACTCGTATTATTGAAATTTGAATTGTTAAATTAATTGTGAAATTTCACAGTGCAAATTTTTATTTTGGAAATTTTTATTACCACTCGCGTTATTGAAATTTGAATCGTTAAATTTATTGTGAAATTTCACACTGCAAATTCTAATTTTTGAAGTTTCTATTCTGTTACTGATGTTATTGAAATTTTAATTTTGATGTTATTGAAATAATAATTTAAAAAATTTTTCTTGTATCACTCGTGTTATTGAAATTTAAATTGTTAAATTAATTGTGAAATTTCACAGTGCGAACTTTAATTTTTGCAATTTTTGTCTACCAAGCATGTTATTGAAACTTCAATTTTAAAAATTTTTATCACTTTCAGATAGTTGATTCTAGAAATAATTAAGATTTGACAGAAAATATGAAATTGTATATTGACCAGTTTTCTAATTAAATTTTAATAAAGTTTCCAAATTCGCGTTAATTTGGCATACTAGAAATGCAGGGAAAGTTTAGGACTGCAGTGTTTTATATGCAAAATAGTCCTCTTTTTCATGTGTTCTATTGTAATTCACACGTACAAGCGCAAACAACCTCATAAATCTAACTAACTTTCTGTACAAGGTCAAAGAAACTGGATAGTGAATTAATACTAATAGGATGTCAAACTGAAAACAGGTCACTTAAGCCTAGAGTAGTATATAACTAGGTGCTTAGGTCGCTTATCAATAAAATTTACGACACTAAATAGTAACGTACACAGGTTACTGGTAGCGATAAAACAACGAATAAGTGTGATGTGCAGATCTGATTGCAAGTTGCAGGAAGCAAGTTAAGGCTAGAGAAATTATATTCAGAAAGAAATTGAAATTTTTTATTCGTCATTTCGTGACTTCTCTGATTTAACAGTCAAAATTTGCCATGCTGTAAATAAAATTGCAATTGGTCAAAAAATGGAATTTTTATTTTTTTGAGAGAATACAACGGTAAGCTTGTAAATTTGTTTTTTTTAGTTTAATAAAAAAATCAAATTCTAAAATTTTTAGTAAATTAAAATTTTTCATGAATTAATTTTCAATGAAAATCCAAATTTTAAATCTAAATTCTAAACCTAAAACTAAAGGGACACAGTACATGGAGTTGATTTCAACAAAATAATGCTTTGAAAGATGCAATTATAAGATTAAAACTTCCACGACAAAGTATAAAGTACTTGAAATAAATTCGCACAAATTCAATTATCTTTCGATCTGAAAAGCAGGTTAATTTTAATAGATTTAGCCACGCTGCAGACAAAACACTTTCAACAATCTCTGTTGGGAAAAAAAAAATTTCGCGAAATAACAGATCGCTGTGTATAAAATAAAACAGACAAACTCAATTATCCGTGATCCTATTTCTAGGACGCGGATTAAGACTAAACTGACTTTGTAATGCAAGATTTACGTTTATCAAATTAATCCTAATAGAATAACAAGGTATAAACGTCAATCGCAATGATGTATCGAGGAATGAAAATTTTTTCGAAACAGTAAACCACGTAAATCGAAAGAAAGGGATCAAGAATACACGTGGAAGAAAAGGGAAATATTTTTAGAATGTGAAAAGGTCTCCGTGAAAATGAATAAAAATGGAACATATATTTCCAGTAGTACGAAAATAAAAGGGTAGATTAAAGAGAAAATTAAAAGGTAGATTATAAAGAGAAGAAAAAAATAGATTAAGGTTCCAGAAACTGATTACTCGCAAAGTGGGTAACAAAAATATATTTATTCAACCAATAATACTTAAACTAATTTTAAATGTAAGGCGATACGATGCGCGTAGAAAGGAAGTCTACGACAAAAGGCCTCCTGCCTTTTTTGGGGCTCCCTTAAGTAGCCCCTTTTCCCTGGGAAAGTCCCAGGAAGTGGGGCCGCTGGCCTGCATTGCCGAGGCGATACTCTTGTCCTCCAGGACGAAGAAACTCGGAGTTGTTTGGAAAAACATCTCTCGATTCTTCGCCTCGAGGGCCAAGAGTCGCCAGGCCTAAGTGCGTGGCCCTCCCGTGGCAGTTGCCACAAAGTCACAAAAATTAGTGTTAAAATTCCAGAGTTGAAGAGGTCAAAATTCTATTCCCCAAAATTCCTATTTAAAAAATATTAAAGTCACAAAAATTAGTGTTAATATTCCAGAGTTGAAGAGGTCAAAATTCTATTCCCCAAAATTCCTATTTAAAAAATATTAAAGTCACAAAAATTAGTGTTAATATTCCAGAGTTGAAGAGGTCAAAATTCTATTCCCCAAAATTCCTATTTAAAAAATATTAAAGTCACAAAAATTAGTGTTAATATTCCAGAGTTGAAGAGGTCAAAATTCTATTCCCCAAAATTCCTATTTAAAAAATATTAAAGTCACAAAAATTAATGTTAATATTCCAGAGTTGAAGAGATGAAGAGGTCAAAATTCTATTCTCCAAAATTCTTATTTAAAATATATTAAAGTCACAAAAATTAATGTTAATATTCCAGGGTTGAAGAGGTCAAAATTCTATTCCCCAAAATTCCAATTTGTTCCTTTTCTTTCAGGAACTAGGCGACACCGATCCTCTAACTCTAGCTCAAGTGCACGAGCACCTGGTACGAAGTCCTCCACCTGCTTCGTGGCCGCACACCACGACTTTCCATTTTCCCCATCAGAATCAGACCACGTCCGGGAAGAGCGACGTGCTGGCACATTACAAGAGCCCGTCGAAGACGGGCTCGTGTCGCAGCAACGATCACGAGCTGTCCAGAAGCGAGCCATCCACCGATATCAGAGGTGCGAGTCCAAACAAGTAGAAATTGCCTTTTCCATAGATAAAACGACGCTTTCGTCACGCAGATCCTTTCTTATACAGCTGTGTATCTTCTTGTTCTATAGCTATCTCCTTGACAGTAAGCATAGTTTGCGTGTTTTCCGTACATAAGTTTTAGTAACGTAAGCTTGATAACTATATTTCTTATGCTGGTTCGATGCTTTAATAAATATTAGTTTCTTATAATCGATTATCTGAATTTGCATTCGCCACGTGACGTCAATGATACTTTGCCATTTATTTCTTTTACAAATTGCGTTGATGGATGACTATTTTTAATTAGATGACTATTTTTTAATTAGATGAGCGAAGCAGGAGAAGGTTTTAATCTTGGTTGAGCAAGATTTTTTATAGTTTTTAAATGATAATTTAAAGTAGTACTTTTGTTACAAATGTTATAGTTTAAAAATTTTTACAGTTTTTAATTGATCAATTAAAGTAGTTATTTTGTTACAAATAAATAGTTCGCTGTTATTCTTTTTATTATTTTTATTGCGTCAAAATGATCGCGTTATTCATATATTATTTACGAAACGGTACCACACCTACTTCCTCCACCTTTGGGATATTTATTAGACTTTAATTTTTCTACAAAGATACCTCATTTCATTTTGATTCTTTTTTTACGATATCGCAGTACCGTTTATAGTCCGCTAACGGTTCCATTAGTTAATAGCCCCGGTACGCTATATTTAATAACCCCTTTATTTAAAAATACAGAAAACTACCCCAGCTACCAATGTATCAACCATTAATCACACATTCCGCTCGCACAGAAATAGCCCTCGATCCTTCAATATAGGTTAAGATATTCAACGGACAATTAACTAGAAACTAATTTTCCCCGCAGAAACGTCATATTTTACCCTGGAACAGAACACGACATGGAACGTGCATTGAGCGGGACGAATAAAAATCGAAACCCTCAGAAATTGAATTAAATCGAGTGTCTCATTAGAATTTCACAAAGGAAGATCGATAGGTGAAGGCGTCAAGGCCGTTGCAAGGCCACTCTAAATAGATCCTTTCAAATAGAACCTGCATCCTTTTTAAACACGACACCGCAACACACACACACATACGTAAATACCTTAAATTCCTCCACAGACATACATACATCTAATTACAATTCCACTTTGCAAACATACAAATCTTTCAACCCCTGAATAAATTAGACGATAATCACCGATACTCGTGATCCAACATTCTAGATCCATACGAACAAACCTGGATCCTTGAGAATACCTCGGAGAAATCGCGAAATATGGAAATCAAGGAACTGGACAAGCATTCCTTAGGGCATTAGAACGAATTCGTGTGTTCGCCCAGGAACACTTATCCCTCGACCTTGATGCTCGCCAACGAACGATATATAGACGGCGATCGATTTCACCTTATTTTTAACCTGCATAAATTAATGGTTCGCGGAACGGTGGGCGTGCCACGTCTCTTTATCCCGCGCCCCCTAGCTTTCGATCGGCTCTTCACCGAGTTTCCGCTCACGGAAAATATTTGCGCCAAACCACCTCTTTACTCCTCTGCACCTCTCCAGGTGCACAGTCCACACCGGTCGATTTCAACGATGATATCGTTCAGACGAAGGAAATGTGAATTTTCGGAAGAATCAATGCTGTTTCGTTCGATACTTGCTTCGATTCGATTGATTTTCGAAGGTTCGAAGTATTTGATCATCTTCGTTGTTAGTGGAAATGTAGAAAAGATGCTTGAAGTAAAACTTTCCAGAGTTACTTTAACCATTGTTTGTCCATTTTGATACCGCACACTCCTACAAAGATAATAGTGGTATAGATAATATTTAGCATCAATTATTGTAAATAAAAAAATAATAACTAAGGTTAGATGAAAATTGATCCAGTTAGGTGATCCTGTGATGATTCATGTTTCTGAAAATCACATTTCTGAAACACCCTGTATTGTCATATTTGGAATTAGGGTTAGTGTCATTTTCATCCTCGTTTCGGCATTGTACTGTAATATTATTTCAATTAGATTTATAATAGTATTGCACAAATATTCTTAATATAAATATATTAATGTTGTAATATTACATGAATTATGTAGATAGTATTTTTCTATTGATCAAATTGCGTCTATTCTACTGTTGCATTATTATTCCAAGTACATCAATATTAATTACATATTAATATCAAAATAATATTTCATCAGTAGGTATTAATATTGCACTAACTTTACTAGCAGTAATAATTAATATTCAATATTTATTAGGAGTTATAATTTATGACTATAAAGTATATACTATACCAGTGTCAACATTAAAAATTCAAGACTCGATAATCGATCGTCTTCATGACAGTACCACGTGACGTACAGTTGTCGGTACATACTTCCCGTTTTATTTTCTTGTCGGTTGATTTACCGTCGGAGTTGAAAACATGCGTGACAGATCTAATCATCCCGAACTTGTCGCATTGCGCGATTTTTTATGCCGTCCCTTTCGTGGCTTACATGCACGCACGTTAAATATCGCATTTTTTATCTAGGCCAGTAACCCCGGCTCGCTCGTTACGCTTTAACGTGTCAGAAACGTTCGAATATGGATAGGAATTAATTTGCAAGGATTACGGGGAAGCAGAAATTTTTCTGATTCTATAATTTTAACGATTTCAATCTCTATAATCAGTAACGTGCATATAAAACACTCTTTAATAGATTTGATAAATAAATCTTGCATTTATTCAAATATTGGTTATGTAAAATAAAGACAAAGGAGAATTATTCAGTCGTAAAGACGCATAAGTGCATACGTCTGCGCATGCGCAACCTTCAGTACTACGCACATATACCTACATTTGTACGGTATTGTAATTCAACACCTTAGTCGATATATGTATATATTTTGTGTAACCTTCAATTTTTACAAAATTCCTAATTAAAAATTTCTCGTCGATGTTTTCTTAAAATATCGCAGAATTGTATTCTATAAGATGGAAGTTAATATATGTTAAACACGAACCTGATTTTTTCTTTCTAGACAGATCGTATAAACGTAACACGCATATAGGTATATACAGAAACTATAGAGTCACTACTATGAATGAAATAGGGTATTATTCAAGCAATACACATTGTGTAGTATCGTGTTGACGAAGCATTACGTTTCTGTTGCAATTTTTCAGATCGCCACTCGCATACGTTCTCCTTGTTACACCCTACGCCGATTCGTTCATTGTCAGACGTTCGGCGTCTTCACAGATCTGCGGACGACAGTGTGCAGCTGATGTCAAGCGAATAAGGCGTTAACGTGTTCCGGTCCGCGGCCGGGCTGAGATGGTTTCTCGCGTTCAGAACACAAAGCGTGCTTTGTCGGTGCTAAAACGTCTGCGAGAGTTCCCGGAATGTTTCAGAGGAGTGTGTCCACGCGGCACGGGCACTCGAAAGCTCCTCGAGAAGTTCACGCACGATCGAGAATCGATTTCTCGAGTCAAACGTCTCTCGAGAGGGAAAAGGTTCTTCGGCCACTTTGAAGAATTTGTATCGGAGTTGACGCACAGGTTGGCTTTGGAAACAAAGAGGGAGTTTAATCATTGTCGCAAAACTGACGTTACAAGAAATTTCGAACGTTCTGTGTCTCGAAAGTTGTAAGTCGTGTTCACGGGAGATTCACGAATTGAGAGGAGTTTTTAGGTTATCCGTTTGTTTACAAGGCACGGTGACAGATTAGATGCGGCGGAACGAACGGAAATGTTTCTATTACAAAAATCGATACACCTAGTGTGAGGATTAAAGCCATAAAAAGAGAGTATTATTAATATAGTTTTAATCCTTTTGATATCGCGGACGCGAACAAGCGTTCAAAGTGAATGTGCGTGCGGTGAACGCACATGGGCGTTCGATAAGCAGCCAATGCACCACAATCGCAAACATAGTCCGCACGCGATCTATCGTTTGCGGCCATGTTTAACGTTAAAAGGGTTAGTTACGTGCCCTATGTCAAAGAAAGCGACACCTGTTTTCGTTGACGTTTCACATGAAAGTTTAAAAGATAAAGTATCTATTTTTCAAAGCACAAAAATTACTAGAAGAAATTTATTCAAATTATTCAATCGTTTACAAGTATAGATATCGTTTCATGTACGGGGTGCCGCTTTTTCTCCAAGTGTATCAATATATTTTAATGAACTAAATGAATACGACAAATCTACTGCGAAGTGAAATTTGACTACACTCGCTCACCGATACTGGCAAATTAAGCTGTCGATTGTTAAAACAGCCGACACTTCTAAAAATCAGGAATTTTATATACTACTGCCAAAGTATGTATATATTTGTCTGCAGTATGCAAAAATCGTAGATGTTTATAGGTGTCAATTTGCAAGAAAATATTTATAGGTAATAAATAAAAAAAACAAGTCTTTGAACTGTTACGCTGTCTTTTCTTTCGAGTATAAAGCAATATAGTAAAAACTAAAAAGGTAACTAAATTATTCAAGTTTGTTTTTACGTTTACTGTTAAAAAATTTGCATCGTTCATTGCGACTTATTTGCAAGTCGATGAGTGAGTGTAACGCGTGCAATTTTTTGTGAGAATGAGCTTTGCTTTATTCGCAAAACTAGTCTGACGCAATTACCGACCGAGCCTAGTATATTTGCGTAAGCGCGCCATACAATAATAATTATCGATCACCACATAACCATATGGACAGGAAGGCCTATATTAATCAGAGAACTATTATCTTTATTGTCAGTCGGACCGGGAAATTATGGAAGTGTATCTGGCTTCTCCCACGAATAATTAAGCAAATATGCGCGCGTGATTCAAGTCAATTCGTACATACGCGTGCTTCTTTCTAATGAGTTTCGCTCACGCAGCTACGAGGGACAGTAATAAAGTGGTGCTTTATTTCTTGCATATTCAAATGAGAATTTTTGTATTTATTTTTGTTATGCTGTATTGCAAGCAGTAAATTACATAACCTAATCTAGATATTACCATTATTTACGTTTCTTATAAAACGTATCAAGGTTATAAAACGTCGTTTGATTATCGATGTAATTTATGCCTTCATTTAAAATACTATAAAGTCCTTCGAAAACGGCAACAGGTGTCACTTCGTAACTGTGCCTCGTAAAGTTCTAGCCAGTACTACGTCTAATAAATTGGTAACACTGGGTATTTCAAAAGCACCATGTGTTTTTATAACAGGTAGTACAGTTTTTATGATAAAGATTTTTTAACGAATTTTGAGAACTTTGCAAAAAAAAAAATAACAGTGAAATAGCCAACGGTTACTTTGAATAAACATATGATATTTAAGATGTTCTTATATAAAGTTTAAAGGGATAACTTGTAATTAATTCAGGATTTCTCGTTATATTATCAGTAATGAATCGTCTTTTGTAAAAATAGTTAAGCATAGTATTCTTCTTTTATTTAAGATATTATTTCGCAAATATCGTTAAGAAATAAGATTGTTATTATATATTATTCAATAAGTTCTTTTATGATTCCGTTGATGACATAGAAAAAAATGATCGAGCTTATATTGTTGTTGTTGCTGTTGTTAATATATATTTATTTTTCACAAAACTAATTTTATTGAAGCAACAATTAAATTTCTTATTAAATTTCTTTCAGCAACAATTTGTTTAAATATTTATCATTACGGACATATAAGTGAAAAGAATGTAAATCGTTTCGATATGAAAATTATTCGCAGCGCCGACTATGCGCCAAATGTATAGGCCTGAACGTAATTAACAAACTAGAATAATCATAGATTAAGAACCTTTTTTTACGCAAACATGAAGGGAAGAACGAGTCGAACTATTAATTTATATTGTTCAAAGGTGATTCGCTCTTAAGGTCAAAAGTATTTTTTTAACGATTCAGTATCATTTCACATTAGCACAAATACTGGTAAGTCGTAAAACTTACTTATTAGGGTTACGTATTTTCGGCTTTCGACGCACATAACCTACAAGTTTTCCACGTAATGTTACGAAGTTGAAACAACGTTCTGACTCTCGTCGAACGATTCTGTTTGCACTCTAAATTTACGGCCCTGTGTTAAAAACAAAGAACGATTCGGTAAAAAGATTATCGTAAAACAAATTGTTTTTGTAAATTGAAACTACAATTACAGAAGGCCAGTTGACAATTCACGTTACGGTTAATGAAATTCTAGCAGGGTTTAAACGAAACTTTCAAAACAGTAGCATGTAAGACAAAGAAAATGATCTAGAAAGTTATTACAATTATTATTATTATTATAGTGTCCAATTGACTTGGCCATTGAGAATTGAGATTATTTCTATTGATATATGCGATACCATTAGATATACTGTACATGTGCATTAGGGGTTCGAAGCGAGTGTCTTCAACCGGAAGCCAAACAGGCAAAAATATATATAAAAAAGAAAAACGCAAAAAAAAAAAACAGTAGAGAGACTAATATAATATAATCTAGTCGAATAATAACATATATACTGATGACTGTGTTGTCACTTTTAAGCGAATATTAAATGAATACTTGTTCGGGTATTATCGAATGTTGAATAATCGACGACGACGAGGTTATGATTCGAATATTATTACCAAACGAATTGAAGTTACTTTTATCGAAAACCGATGTTAAATGTTGCAATAAACTCTCGATTTTACGGATTCCCATATCTAAATAGACTTCGAAGTAACCAACAACGTGTGTAACCCTTTTTATATCTTCAATATTGTCTTAAATTCTTTTCGACACTTAAACATTGAATAACTGTTACTCTCGTTAGTCCTTAAAATCAAGGGTTTACTGTATTATTCCCATGAAGCTTCGTTCCCTTTATTTCAAATTCCCACTCTAATTTTAAGAAGCACCATTCGCAGAAATTTTAAAGGTTGTATTCTTGCATCGTATAATTAGTTGAAGGTAAAGGTACGATTTTAATAAAACGAATTGAAAATAAATTTTGAAATCAAGAAAAAAAATAAATGCTAAATGTACGTTACTTGTTGATAAAAAGTAATAAGTTTATTTTGATATAATTGTATAGTGTTTATTTAAGTTTTTTGCTGCTGTTGTCATTTGTTAATCGATTTGTCAAATTTTATGCTGTGCAAATGATTATTAAAATGAATCTTTGTTCGTTTGAATTTTTATCGAAATAAAAGTTTGATTCTTTATATATCAGTGAAATGTTTATTGTGTCTGTTGAATAAAATTATCCTAACATTGTCGAAGAATTTATTCCCAAATTATTTTAAATTGTAAACGATACACCTGCATGCATACAAACAAAGGTACATCTGAACGACGCCTACAAATATGCAACTCGCACAGTTAAGTAAATGTTATTTATTAATTTTTTTATGCACTACTTGTTATTTTACAAGTTAATGCAGTGAATAGTATGAGATATACTATACCAGGTAAGTAATGAAACTCTCGTCTTATGATTTAATTTCTTACGCACGTTCTGTTACAATTCACTAATTTTTAATAAAAGTTACAAACAATTTCTCACTAATTTACTGAATACAATGGTTAATTTAATGTTAAATTGATACATTAAGCTGTTTTATTAGGTTGAAGCGTGCAGTAGTTTTATTTAACATTTCAAATAGTTATAAACAACATTTAGTTATTTAACAAGGAACACTATTTATTCTATAACTAAAGTACTTGAAAGTAAGCAAGAAACTGTTCTTTACTGTCTACGTTAGTAGTAATGTTACAGCAGTTAAGAAGTGATTATAATTATTAATTAAATAAATAGCACTAGAGTAATGTGTTAGACAAGGAAAAATATAGTGTTAGACAAGGACAGAATTTTTGGAAAACGAAACTAACGCCATCTCGCGTTAGGTGATACGAACTACGACTTTTTAATAGGATTACAGGATGTAAACAGAGGTATTAGACAAGGAAAGCACTAGTGTGCGACAAGGATAGAGAGAAAACGCTTCCCATTGGCTGGCGGGCGGCCATGCTGCACCTGTCAGGCCCCAAGTAAAGCCGGTCGGTGAAAAATCATTAATAACTCAGTAATTAGGATGATTTTGTGAACTTTTAGAATTGAAGAATGAAGTATGGACCTTCAGCAACTTTCTCATATAGTTTTTAATGCACTAGACCCCTTCAATAATTAGTTATTAACAATTTTATTACGGGATGTCGGAAACCATACCGCACACCGTCAAGCAGTTTTACGGTTTTTCAATAATTTCATAGCTTTCTACTAAATTCCCATACGGATAACTAGATGCATTAGAAAGGTAACTCCTCGGGCTACATTCTCATATAATTTTTATTAACATATTCGGCTTAGTTTAAGAGGTATTAAACATTATATGGAAGAGTCCCCTATTCGTCGTACTCGGGTATACTCAACTTTTATAAACAATTGCTAATACCTAATGAACCACATCAGATACATATTCCAAAATTATTGCAGAATATAGTAAAAGGGCTATGCTACATTCTACATGCTTAAAAGTACACAACTTATCCCGCTTATTCATGAAAATGACGGAAGTGTGTTTCGTTTGAATGCGACGAGAATAATACTAACCCAAATAATATTTAATATCGCTCAAATTATGACGCATATGTTAATGAAACTTTAACGAGAAACTAGGTAAAGGAATAGCTTTTCAAATGCATGCATAAAAGTGTATAAATTATTTGTACAAAGCTACAAAATTAATGAAAAACCGGAAGGGTGTGCGGTACTGCTGCCGACACTGCGCACAATAATTGTTAATAACTAATTACTGAAAGGACTTAACACAACAAAATGTATATGAGAAAGTTGCTGAAGGTTCACACTTTATTCTTCAATTCTAAAAGTTCACAAAATCATCGTAATTATGGAGTTATTAATGATTTTTCACCGACCGGCTTGACTTGGGCCTGACAGGTGGAGCATGGCGGCCCGCCAACCAATGAGAAGCGTTTTCTCTCTATCCTTGTCGCACACTAGTGCTTTCCTTGTCTAATACCTCTGTTTATATCCTGTAATCCTATTAAAAAGTCGTAGTTCGCGTCACCAAACGCGAGATGGCGTTACTATCGCTTTTCAAATTTTTCTATCCTTGTCTAACGCTATATCTTTCTCATTTCTCCAGTGCTATCCTTGTCTACCGCTATTCGTTTCCTTGTCTTACTCATTGCGCTATTGCTATCATCGTCATCTCTATTACATTTAATGATACTTATGATCAATTTTTAATTGTTTTAACATTACTAACAATGAAGGTAGTAAAATACAGTTTATGGCTTATTTTCAAGTACTTTTATTATAGAATAATGTGTTCCTTGTTAAATAACAATTTACATGGTAGTTTATAATTATTGGAAGTGTTAAATAAAATTGATACTTGCTTTAACTGAAAAAATAGTTGAATTTTTTTATTTAACATTGAATTAACAAATACATGCAATAGATTAGTTAGAAATTGTTTACAACTTTTATTGAAAATTAAAAAATTCATGTTCCTTTTGTTTGAATGACAGATGTAACTCTCAGATTGCCACAGGAATCGGAAACAAATGACGGAGTGCGATTATTTATCAAAAAATCAATTATTTCTTGTAAGATGATCGTACAAAATGTATTTTACAAAAGCTCACAATATATCAGTATTGTTTTACAGCATTGTACAATCTATTCATTTCTCCCTTCTAAACCACACCCATTCTTTAAATAATACTCTATTATGAAATTAAATGAACTATGTCTGAATAACGTTAGGAACGAGTAAAAATTGAAAAGATCGAAAAAATCTCGGAATCCAACCTAATGTATATCTTATATAAACTGGAATAAAAGTATAGAATTCTATACTTCGTGTACGATTATATGATATCCCGTTCTATACTTTATTTGTAATTTCATAGTTAAGATTAGTTTTAATTCCAACCACTACTGATGTTGTAATCTTATTTTATGCTGAATTGGTAACATTGGAAGCGATAGAAAAATGATAAGGAGACTCTAGAGTCCCCATAACGTGAAAGAAAAGAATGCATTGGGTGATAGGTCTACTCTGAACCTCGTCTGTGGTTCAAATTATGCGCTAGAACAGCCTTCGACTGAGGGACATCTAGTGTGGAATCTTAAGACACGTAAAGAATGTAATCGACTACTTCGAATGCCAGCAGTTTTTTGTTACAAATCTAATTAAACAAGTAACATTTCAAGTAGCCTGATACGAACGGTGAATGAAATGGCCGGGTGGGTATACCGTGAATATTAAGCAACCGCTTGACATTTGAGAATGAACAGTTGGATTATATTTTCGGATCAACACGAATATAAACAGTAGTGTGCTAACAAATATCGATTAAAGATATCGTGTAGTGACCGAAGAAATTTTAATTCAATTGTAAAATGAAGGGTATTTTAATCTTCGATCATCTGAGTGATGTTCTTTTCACGAAGTGTAATAAAAAATTTGCAAATCATATACAAAAGTTAGCAAAAATTCAAGGACTGATTTCGGAGAATAAGGTACGTTTCTGTCAAATTTTTGCAAAACTTTACTCATAACATTTGACAACAGTTGAATTGTTGCAGTATTGTACTTTTTGTTTACAGTACAAATATAGTTTTTATTATTTTGATTTCTATTAGTCAAACAATATTGACAAACACTAGAAATGTATATATCAGAATGTAAGTTTATGTTTTCCATAGGATGCAAATGACAAGGAATCAACATTAAACCCAAATGTTATAATGCAATTATTCTCACCTATTGTTACATCTCAACATGTAATGGCTTCTCAGTTTGGAAATTCTTATACTTCAATGAAATGTCATGATGGCACAAATATGGTATTTGATGAATTTATGGGATACAGTTTCATTTATATTTCCATGGAGGAGGTGGAGTTAATGAAAAGAACATTAGGTGTATGTGTAGCAATTGTCAGGCATGTTTGTGGACCAGATGTTGCAGTGTAAGTTAAGATACTAGTGGGAAATTTTGTTTCTAGTAAAGTGGACAATGTTGTAATAAATAAATTAATTTTAGATTAAAGGTGAACAGACAAAAAGTCTGTTTGGTATCTTCTCTATTAGATGCATGGGTGCATCTAAGAAATTCTGAACAAAGCATGCTTACAGAAGCAATAGAACAACTATCCATAAACACAGATTTAGGTGTATCAATATTAAAAGTGTTGCATGATGCTTGTGACAAATTGAAGGCACAATCTGAATTTTCCAATGTACATATTTTGATACTAGTGGAGCAAAAATTTCTTTCATTGTATTCCAGTAAAAATGCTCATGACTTATATGCTTCTGATATATTGCTGATGATGCTTATGTGTTGGGTAGTCAATCAAAAGAGGAAAAGAGATTCTCAATCTGTACTAGCTGATAATGATGATGACCGTACTGATATTCTTTTACCTGACAATAGTGCTTCCAAAGAAGAGCAAATAACTTTTGGTGCAAAGTTAGCAAATCCTACTTCTGAGGACATTACAAACTTATTTAGTATGGTTTTTACTGTTATAAAGTGTTTATCAATTTCATTGATATTTTGCACTGATTTGTTTGTTCATTATAGGAGGGTCCAGAGAATCTTCCATCAATGAAGGTCTTTATTCTTTAACTGATGATGATTTGTATAGTAACATAATCCTTCTTGGGACTGAGCATGATTATACTGCTAATGCAGTGCACATATTTGAACTAGCAGATGGTATTAATTTAATCATGATAGTGGAAATGACTAATCTTGCCACATCAACAGGATTATATGACAGTTTCCATTATTTAAATATAATAAATGGTTTGCAACTTCAAAGGGACATTGATGAATTAAGACCAGCATTTGAAAACTTTGACACGGCAATGAAAAAAGCTTTAGATGGAATTAAGAAAAACAGAGCCAATGTCACTAATGATGTTGATATGTGTCAGAGAAGGCTACAAACAAAATGGGAATTCGTTCGAAAAAAATATATGGATCTGTTAAAATCTAGAGATCCAGAATCAATCTTACAAATCGAATCCAACACATCTGGATTTACGGACAATTTGAAAGAATTATATCGATTAACATGTTTCGATAAAAACTTTTTGAAACAAGGTGTTGATGTACTTACAACAGTGGGACGACTCGTTCGTCAAAAGCTAAATGATTTTAGCGATTTTCTTAAAGTAAAAGCACTCAAAAACTTTACTCTAGGATCATATCCTTTTGTAATCACTTATTTAGATACACTTTTTATTTATCTTTTTTTTTTGATAAATTACATATGAAAATATACCTCCTTAATACCATATAATTTACGAGAACTTCCCTAACCATCAACAAATATTTAGAAGAGTTTCCAGGCCTGGTGCACTTCATTTACATAGACAGAACTACTCATAGACTGACTGCGCCAACATTAGATTTCACAAACCCCGAAACTCTTGCTCTTACAACAAAGAAGGTAATTTACAAAATAAATTGAGTAAAATAATTACGATTAACATGACTTTCTTAAAAATTATTTTCATAGATTTGGAATATGGTTAAACAGAGCAGAATGCACTTAGAAGAAGGACACTTATCGGTTATGTGGAAAGATACAACATTCAATTATGCTTACTTTTTATGGTTTGAGGACAATTCTGTAAGTGAATAACTTTAAAATAACAAACGTACAGTACTGCATTATTATCATTACACAATATTTTGCAGGGGTCACCATTAAAGTGTAAAGTTTATTTGAATCATATAATGAAAAATTTTCCAGTACCGGGTATATTTTGTGGTGATTATTATAGGTTTGTAGCGTTGATACTTAAAACTATTTTTACTTTGTAGCAATGTTTCACTCGGTTTGTTTTACAATTTCGTAGAAAATTGGCCGAGATGTGTTTTCCTAAACTATCTACAAACAAAATCAGAATTTACGAGCTGTACTGTGTTCATCTTGGTTTGGCAACGTCGTCGTGTGTTTTAGAACATTCAAGGAGACTTGCGGCTACAATATGGGAAGTCACAGGTGTTCCAAATAATCCTGCCGACATACTTTAATAACATTCCTTTAAAGTATTTATGTACAGATAAAAACTGAAGTTCTGCGCTAATACGAATATCTTATACTACAGTTAATATTTAAAGAAAGAGAACTATTTAAGAGATTTTTAATTATTTACAAGTATTTAATACATGTATTAACTTGTTATTTATAAAAGATGACGATGCAAAACATTTGTATTTATTTTATACGTTAAATACTTAAAAATGTAATGGCACAACTTAAACAATTTACATAATGAAACAATTAATATGTATACCTCTCTCTGAACTTCATTGGAACTTAATTAGAGCATTGTAAATATTTAGGAGCGTATTAAATACATTATTAAAATAGTACAAAAAAGCTGTAATGCAAGTGAAAACATTTTTAAATATAGAACATCCAGAAGAACGCGTTAAGAACTATTCAGTACTTCAGTCTATGATGCCTCTCCACTTTATAATGCACAAGATTCGATACTATGAACACGACACGATAGCATTTTGTTTTGATATCCCTGTAAGGTTAAAATTTGCTAACAACGGACCAGTCTTAGACACAGCACAAACATGGTCAGTTTAGTATACTTGTAAATATTTATATATTTTAAATGCATACGAGTGTGACGTAAGCGTTCTAAAAACTCGATCGACTTTTTTTTTTTCTTAAAATGCTCTACAGTTTTAAGTATATCGTTATAAAGCTTTCAAAGATAATTAAAAATAAGGGAATCTCTTTTATTTAATGGTTCTGCGTCGTATCTGTTGATTTACGCGCATTATCTACTTTTTTCTTAGGAACCTGACTGTAGGATACTTGAAAGGAAGTATTTTGTACACTATTTGCCTCAGATGATTCTTGTTGCGGCACTTGAGTATGTGAAGTCCTTACACTGCTACTTCGTGTAGTAAGTGGACCTGAAGTCCTTCTACCCTTTTTTAACTCTGTTTGAAGGTTATGTACCACTTTGCCTTTACCTCTTCCAACACCACTTGTATTCGTTTCACCTTTACAGATTGATTCTTTCACAATTTCCGAATCCATATTGGAGAAACGTCTACTCTTATTTGATACACTTTCTGTGACATCAAGCTTTATTTCTGCAACAGAATTTACAGCTGATGGTTCTTGACTTGGGCTGTTTATTGCATCTGTGTTTGTCCTCCTTGAATTGCTTTGGTTAATATTCTTTTCGACAAATGTTGCCGTATTTTGTGGTTTGCTGCGCGTAATAATTGGTTGGCTCACTCGACGTTCCTGATTGGTATCACCCGAAGGTTCTGTTCTTGACGGAGATATTTTTTCCGACTTTTGTCTTTCTTTACTAATCTCATTTTTTTCAATTTCATACTGTTGATTCAAGTTATTTAAATTACCATTAATTTTTGCCTTCCTGTTAAGCTTAAATTCTTTGATTTGTTTTTCTAGCTCTGCCACCTCAAGATCAGATTTACATAATTCTGGTATTAACTGGCTCAAATGCTGTTCGGCTGCTTTTTGTATAGCAATAGCAGATTCAAAACCAGATGCTCTTGTCAAATCCAAACTTAAAATAAATAGCTTCGTGTAAATATCACAAGCAATGCAACAATTCATTATGAAATTATACTCATACTAAAACTTACTTCAAAGATTCTACAAGATTTGTAAATACATCTGGCACATCAGATGATTTTTTGGTAGGTGTAGGTTTATAATCTGAACCTTCGTGTATAAATGAGTTACTTCCTAAATTATTTATTCTTAAGGGAACTGGTTCAAATGTCCTGTAACCAAAAAATATATTTATAAAAATACAATTGAGAAAAAATTATATTATAATTATTATAATAACTGAAAACTTACCCCATTTTTTGTCTTAAGAAGACATGTTTAAACTTATGAGTTCCTCCTTCACTGCTTGTTGAAGAATTTAACAAACAAGTAACAAAGAACTCTTCTTTGGAACCATTGTCATTAGAAAAATAGGATGCAAATTCTCGATGCAATATTTTGTCTCTAAATGTGGGTACCAAGCCTATATTTCTCCTGAAGCAAAACCAGCCTATCACCTGCTTACTTTTGTCATGTAAAAAATCCTTTAATTTCTCTTTATTAATTTTACCAATTGAATTGTACAAAGAATCTGGCAATGGGCAAGTGACAATAGCTTCAATATCTAAAAGTGTCAAAGCATTATTGCAAAACTGAATGGCACTTTTGTGTCATGATGTCAAACAATTGAATATATTTACTGTTGTATATCTTCACTGTTTCCACTTGATTGTCCGCGTCTGTGTACGTTTTCACTATGAACTCAAGTGTCTCTCCTAGCAAAAATCCCATCTAAAACATTAAGGATTAACATCTTTCTTTTCAATGTTTTCGATTTCTTCGGTGGCTAGGTTATTTTTTGTTGAGGTTAAGACGCTAGATATCGAAAACTCGTTGAGAACCGTTGCACCAAATCGAAGAAAACATTATTAGGAATAAACAAGGGAGGAGAAACTTCGTATACCTGATCTCCGCGGCTACGAACATTTTCGTAAAATAGTAATGATAAAGCAGGACCTGAAATAGTGATGAGAAAATCACTATCCGCCATGTTGACAATTCACTGTTATCCACTTCGCAATTTCGTTTATACTTTCTATCGTTACGCTTGCCAGTTTTACCGCATCACACGCGCATCTGCAACAATATTTCATGTTGTTCGTTTAATGCGCTAATACGAGTTATTTAAGCGACTATAGAAGCACATACAATGGTGAGTTCTTACGGTTATCAATTTATGCGTCGGTATTAAAATAGCCTTGCTAGAATTATTTTTACCGTATAATTATTAATTTTTTGTTAAAATACCTTTGTAATTATCGGTTATATAAAACACGTAGTGTTATAGTACGTGAAGATAGAATTTATCAATAATATAACAAAGAGTCTTCAACAAACAATTTCAAACGAAGAAACAAATCGTTTGATTGGAACGAACAATCGAGGATCGTAGCACAAGAAATATCAAATATTTGAAACTAGAAACGTTAAATTTACATTCACTATACGTTCACTTACTTCTTTCTTCCTATACAATTTCTCTGTAACAACGTAAAACGATTTCCCTTATACGTAAAACTGTTTATAATTTCTAAGTCATTGTTTTGCAGTAATATTCGAACAGGAGCAGAACGCGTGCATATAACTGCACTACGGTAATGTAATTTGTACGTAACCGGAAATACCAGGAAGTCACATAACGTAACAGGAAACAAGGGAATCAGCCTTTTCAAGTTTTCAAATAGAAATATCCCTTTCGATGGATTTTAGTTTTGCTAAATCGTCCATATACTGGCAATTGTACATACTGAATTATCAATTTACCCATAATCGATATCAATTACCTACAAATTTATTTTGTCAATTATCAAAAGGTCCTACATATAAAATTAACATACATAATTTGCTACTTTAGCAAAATATTTTCATTTTATCGTAATAACGTTTAAAACAAAATAAAAAATTTCAATTTACAATTTAAAAGAAAAATACGATACAGATTACAGAGATCATATTAAGAATATCAGAATAACTTAACCTTAAAAAATTCTATTTCTTTCATTTAGTTAAATTTTTTATTAACCAAACATCGTATAAAAAGTGAAGAAAATGCCTCTCGTTCTCTTATTGTTCAATTGTCTGTTAATCAATTGCGACTTCAAGTGTACAAAAAGATCTTTTGTCAGAAGTGGGATTCGAACCCACGCCCACAGAGTGGACTGCGACCTGAACGCAGCGCCTTAGACCGCTCGGCCATCCTGACATTGCTTGCTAATCAATTTTGCGTTAAGAAAGCCTTTGGACGAGTATTGCAACGCATAAACATAAACCACCATGAGAAATTTACGTAAATTGTTCGATCGAAGATTTCTGTTCGATTCATTTATTCAAACATTTAACATCATGCTTGTTTCTATGGCCACTAAATAGGTTGTTTGGTTGGAAGATGTGATAATTGGAGACGAGACTGATGAGGTGTTGCTGATACGAAAATTATTCGCACACTGTGTGGGTGTCGAATTTGAATTTTATTTATGATATTTGAATTTTTCTTTGCAAATGAAACAGGTGGAAAAATGTTTACATGGACTTATATTTTTATGGTGGATTTTATATTTTATTCGATCTATTTCTAGAATGTTTAAATACTCTTTTATATTGAAATTGTAAAATTTCAATGTTTGAGAGGAATTTTACCGAAGAACATTTTCTAACGCGTTTTTCCTCTCTTTAGTCTACAAACTCACTGCTTAATCCTTATCGCAGTATGCTAATAATACGAAGAATGAATCGATCAATTTTTAAAAACAATTTTTAACTACACATAATGTATTCTTAATCAAGAAACTTCTAAAGAATTTAAGAAACCAAATATACTTTATCCAACGGAATATTTTAATTTTATCGATCGTTGATCCCATATGGGAATGCGTCAGTACTTGTTCAAATTAATTCAGAAAAATATAAATTTGACATTAAGACACTTTTATTGTAAATATCTAAGAATAAATCTGAATCTTTTCCAATCAAAAAACGTCTTTACTTTAAACCTAACCTAACTCTTTAAACCACAAGGCAGCCATATTGGTCCACAAAATCTCCTATGTTAATTCCAATTATCAAAGTCTTCATAATGGTCATTTTTACTCATATCGAACAAGCTAGCATTAATACTCACGTAAATATCTAACATAAGTATAATCAATATAAGTTCCAATTCATTCCAATCAGAAAACGTCTCTACTACAAACCTAACCAAACTCTTCGAACCACAAGGCAGCCATATTGGTCCGCAAGGATCCTAAAACCTTCTCCTGTACAATTCCAATTATCAAAATCTTCATAATGATCCTCAAAATCAAAGGGTAGCCATATTGGTCCGCAAGAACAATTACTGAAATTTTTACAATGATCCTCAAAAGCACAAGATAGCCATATTGGCCCCCAAGGACCTTAAAACCTTCTCCCATAAATTCCAATTATCGAAATCTTCACAACGATCCCCAAAACCACAAGACACCCATATCGGTCCCCAAAAATCTTAAAACCTTCTTTCATTCACACTATATAATTTCAATTACTGAAATTTTCACAATAATTTCCAAAACCACAAGGCAGCCATATTGGTCCCAAAGGACCCCAAAAACCTTCTCCCATATAATTCCAATAATCGAAATCTTTCCCAATAATTCCAAAAACCACAAGACAGCCATATTGGTCCCCAAGGACCCTAAAACCTTCTCCCATAAATTCCAATTATCAAAATCTTCAGAATAATCCCCAAAACCACAGGGCAGCCATATTGGTCCCTAAGGACCCCAAAGCCTTCTCCAATTCCACGCTAATTCCAATTATCGAAATTCTCACAACGCTAATTTTCTCCTTATATCCTCCAAAAAACAGCATCGAATCGGCCACAAATTCTCACGAGCCGAGAATAATGATCGTCGAAGGAAGAATACGTTGGTTAGCGTTCGCCTGGTGTACGACGAATCGGCGCGCGTTTCGCCTCGCCCAAAATACACCGGGTGTCGTCCGCACGCGAGTCGCTCGTATTTCTAGCCGCGATGCATATTCGATGTAGGGCTCGAGGATCGCGTGATGTAAGCCTTTTAGTGATCTCTAGAGGGGCGGCGAGATTGCCTCTCCTGTTCATCGGTCTCTCTGTTCACCGTTTCCGTTCCTCGCTTGTACAAGCAAAAACAACACCACACACTCTCTCTCTCACACACACACACGCGCGCAAAATACACACGTAGAGTCTTTCTCGCGGAGCATTCGTCGTCGACACTGTAACGCTGGACCATGACGGAGGAAAAATGGGATTACCTTGGCGAGAAATGGGAGCACATCGATCAGAAGGTGAGCAAGCATGCACCAGTTTCTTTTCTCGCTCATCCTGGTTCGCGACCTTGACTTTCCATCCCGTTGCGTAATAACAGGCCTCGAAGTTCACACAGGAAAGAGCTTTGCTAATTGGTCGTGTCGCCGGGTAACTCGAATCATTCTGACGGATATCGAGTAAGACGAACTCGTTGACCCGAGTTCGACGAGATAATTATGTCGCTCGTGAGGTTTCAGAGGGAGACAGAGAGAGATCTGGAGAAACTTGATTGGGATTTAAAGAGTTTTTCCTTTGATTCTTTTTTTTCTTCGTCGTGCAGTATAGAGGTTTGAGAAGTGGATGATCAAGATGTGAAATGTTCTTGCGAGGAGAACTGAGAGAAGAGTGTTACATAAACATAGGTCGATTGAAGATCTATTGGGAAATTTTGATAATATGGAGGGGTGCAAAGGGGACTGAGGTGGGATTATGAATGGTAAATGTGTTGGTCTCTCTTTCTGATTTCACATTTTCATTTCTATTTTTTCAAATAAACTTTCTAATGTTGTTCTGAATTATGAACCATGTGTTGTATGGGATATATACCGAGGAATTCATATACTGTGTTCTTTTTCCTTCAGATTTCACACTTTTATTTTTATTTTTGTCAAACAAACTTTATGAAATCATTTATTTTCATTTATTTAATATCTTCTTCTTTCTACTTGTATAATATATTAATAAAGTTTTAGATATTGTCTCTAGCTTTGAGTAGAACACTCTTAGAAGTTTAATGTCTTTTGTTTAGTATGATGTGAATGGTTACCGAATGTGGGGCATCTTAATCGAGCGTTCAATGAATTTAGATTTCTGAATTTAGAAGGAGAATGGTTAATGACGATTAGTAGGATCAATTATAGCCACGACTCAATGGAGCCAACCTTGAAACATTTTCGTTCTTACTGGGGCATTTTTGTTTTCGCACAAAATTTTCATTCAAAACTTTCTTCACACTTGATTATGCACGTTTTCACGGAGAATTGAAAATAGCATAATCGACAGTCGTTCGTAAGTATCGAATATCGAACTGGGGCATTGTTGTTTTAAAATTTTAATTCAAAACTTTCTTCATACTTAATTGTGCATGTTTTCAACGAAGAATTGAAAATAGCATAATTGACAGTGACTCACAAGTATCGTACGTATAACAAATATTTACCTCCCTGAAGAACACATTTTTGTGGGTTTCAAAGGGTTAACAAAACAACTGTTCCTCAATTTCCCCCCGTTTTCTTCATTTTCTTCCCTCTGTCCATCATTCTCGGCTCCGCGGATTCGTTCAGTGGCCGAAAAATGGGTCGTCGTGACGATTAAACAGCTGATCGCGACATCGAGAATGGCGAGTGTCGCGAGTGGAGGCAGTCGTTGCGAAATAAGCATGAATTCGCGTCCCTTTTGGCGACCGCGACGATCTTCGAACGAGGACACGGGAACGTGTAGAATCGCGCGCGGCCCGGCTCGAACTTCAAACACGCGTTATCAGAGGAACAAGACAAAGGGAAGTAGCGAGAAATGCGAGAGAGAAAGAGACGGTGGGTGAAAGAGAGCTTTCATTCATGATTCTCGCGTGACGTGAGTAAATCCGCCAAGCATTGGCCGACACAGAGGGAAGAAACGCCGGGATTATTATAAATAACGTACGCGACCTACCGGCGTTCGAGTTTTATTTTAACGCGGACACGAGCCTCCTTCTTCACGCTCGTAATCCCCTATGACGATGTTGAAGAAGAAGAAGAAGAAGAGATAATTTAAGAGTCTGTTGCGTTACCGCGACAATGTGAAACTCGAGAATAATAATTGCACTCTTTCTGATGATGGGAATT